ATGGAATTACGTGACATTCCACTAACTACTACATGTGTTCTTTAAAACAAGCATGGTATCCCTCAGCCCAACAAATTTGTCACCATCGTCTCCATCCCCCGACCACCACTTCCACCCTGACCTGAATCTATCCCCAGACACCCTCAGGGCTCAGGGTCATACACGCGACACCTCAGGGGGCCCACAGTCCCACGCGCGACACCACAGCAGCTGCGACCGAGGCCGTCGTACTGCTCGAGTCAGTCCAAAGACGTTGTGTGGAATCGTCCCACAAAACGTCTCCATTTGTGTAGACCATGTGAAGCGAAGGCCAACTTGACGATGGAGGCAGTGGCGGTGGATGATAAAAGACGAGGTCTCAGACGGATTCAGAGAGGGAGTGGAGGCTGGCGAAATGACGGACGCTGGAAGGCCGGAGGTTAATTAGAGGCGCTATTCTCGATTAGGCCTTGTCAAACGTCCGCTCAGAGGTCAGGGTAGGGAGGGTGGGGGTAGGTATTCTGACTTTTTAGGTCGCCAGTCTTCCCGCATGACTGAAGCCTCTTCAACCAGCGGTGTCAAAATGGAACATTGGGAATATAAGACCGACTATGCTGATAATTACGAGCACATAGCTGACCAAACTATGTAGACGTGCCCCTTTTGAAGGAGCCGTGTATTCTGTCATCATGTCTGTGTCAAATGTCCATTAAAAATAGAATGATAAAATGAAATGTTGAGAAAACGTTTGGTGACATGACAAAAATGCCTTTCATTAACCTCAATAATTGTCATGAGTGTTAAAAATTCTGTCAAGGTCAGCTGCCCACCACATTACTCATTAACTGCACATTAATCTTGACATGTAACACATTTGCTACGGTCATTCTAAACACCCCATAAAGCCACTCATTACTGCCCTAGCCTTCCAATATCCTAGCTTTATGTCAACACACTCCTTGTTCAGAAACCTTGAAAGCTAGCCCGGAACTGCAGCTACCCAGCGGGGCGCCGCGCGCTGGGCTCCCACGCAGTCTGTGGTGCTGTGTGAGAGAACTGGCCGCTAAATTCTCACAGCGCTGGAACAGGAGTGTCCGCAGGGAGCGGCCGCCAGACCCACGCAGGGAAGGACGAGGCTTGGAGATGGTGAAAGAAACAGTCACCACACCAAAAATAGTCGGGAGAGAGAAATGCCGAGGGGAGTGGAGGAGCTTGGGGTCGGAGCGGGGTCACGGTCAATGGTGAGTCCGTGGAGGCTGTTGACATGAGGGGGTGAAATGAAAACGAGTACTGTTTTTACGCACAGAGTGAAATGTAAGGTACTGTAAAATGGACGGAGAAAAGCCAGTCAGCTGCACTATCACTTTCCACTGAGTATGATGAGACTTTAATTGCAGCCCAAACGACATCTGGACTGGATAGGCAGACTCCAGCTTGAAAACATGAGCTCTGCCAGCTGCTCGACTGGTAACGAATCAATTGTAATTCAGGATAATTCATCACACGCTCTGTATAGAAGCAGCTCAAACCTTTTTTAGGTGCAACAATGCAATCGATACCTATTTTACCTTGTTGAATAATCTATTTAAATAGAACATTGAACTATTTTATTCTGTTATATCACATTAAAGTCTTTGATTGAATTATTTTATTTAATCCGAAAGAGATAATATCTTTGTATGACAAAACAAACGGATGGAGACGATTAATTACAATTCGCAAATGTAAAGCAGGACAAGCGAAGACTACCACGTCCATGCCTTCAATCTCTGCACCTGGGTTGCCGTTCTGCGCACTTCCATTACCGCTGGCCACCTGCTTTTAATAATGCGCCGTCTTCCCAGCTCCGACATGATTCAGCCATAATCACTTCATCAAGCGCCACTCAGAGCCGTGGAATGATGAAATGATGAAAGCCATCGCAGCGGCCGACCCAGCCGTGCGCGGCGCTCGTCAATGTGAAACTCCTCTGGCGCCCCCTGCCGGCCGCGCTAGCAGCGAGCTCCGCCGGTGAACCTGCCCGCCATCTGGCGTGAGATTCGACGGTGGCAATCCGCGGCGCGCCCGGTCTCTGCCGCTCTTGTTACCTGCTTAGAGGCCACTTCAGTGCCGACCGACGGCAGCTGACTAATGTATTCGCAGAGCGCCGCCGCGCGATTCCGAGGCTCGAGTGGACGACACAAAAGAGTCGTGACTTGCTGGTGACACGCTGGATTACGGTGACCGGCGGGCGGCCGGGACAGGAGATTTGGGAGCAGTGACCCGCGCACATTCCACGAACGCGGAATGCCGTGGGAGACGGCAAAGCTGATTAGGATTTGAGGTCCAGGAGTACGAAATGAAAAGTGGTTATGGCAGCTGAGTGAAAGTGGTGGGTATTTTCTGAAACAGGAAGCATTGGCAAATCTTGCACAGCTACTTTGAGACGAAACACAACATTAAATAAGAAGGTTTCCATTTGTAATATCAATGAAGGAACGTAGAAAAACATAAATAAATCACAAGTGTGCGCATGGTTCATCAGTATGTAATGACCGATCCAAGTAATTAAAATTTATAACTTGGATCAGCAGGGAACCATAAGCTTACTGAGATCATAAGGGACACCAAATCTAGAATGAATCTAGAATCTAGAATCTAGAACAACTCACTAGAATGAACAATAGGTGTCATCAACCACTTTCAGCCCCCAATAGAATCATCAGGACCACACCATTACCATCGCCCAGCTCACTGTGAGCAGCTGCTCACAGTGGACCAGCACTCAGCGGGGACCAATCCAACCCAACTCACTGGGATCAGCAGGGAGGAGGTGATGACGCTGCTGAAGTGGACGGTCCGCAGCGTGTTGCGCATGTTGACGCAGGTGAAACAGTCCACCGGCAGGGTGGTGATGTTGTTCATGTCTCAGAAGAGCGGCCGGTTCAGCGGTGGTGGAGTGACGAATGAAGGCAGGGTCATGCAGCCGATATCTCAGAGGCGAGCGAGGCCGTCGGCGTATTCAAGACGGTAGCTCCAACGAACTTCGTCGCTTAGCTCAGGAATCCCACAACAGTTCGGAATACTAAATCAAAAGTTTCACATTCCTTTTTAGAGTAGTCCGTCCGCTGTAGCCTGTCACTCAAATCACGATGTTCCGAGTCTTCCGCTCGCAACCGACCAGCCGCGTCAATCAAATATCTCAAAGCTGGTCATGAAAAGCGACATAGAAAAGACACAAAAAACACTGCACACAACGATGCACTCAAATCAAAGCTTCTTTACACCTTCACGGCGTACCACGACGATCACCGACTACCGTGGAACCGCATTCACGCGTCAAGGACAACCGTTCTTGAAGTCCAAGCGTAGTAAGATCAGCTAAACCACCTCAGAGAAAAGTCTTCCGAGAGAAAGAGCACCGCTGCAGAGATACACATGCCGCCGACCGGCCAGACGAGACGAAACTGGCGCAGCGCACCGGACGGCGGCGAGCGGCGGCGAGCGGCGGCCGGTGACCGGCGGCTGACGCGCGGTGGGCGTCCGCGCCGCGTCAGTCGCAGAGACAAAAACGGCGCGGTGCGGCCAGCCTGACGCGGTCAGTGCGGGCGCTGCTTCACTGTGTCGGCTTTTCTCTGTTGGTCTCGGCTGCATGTTGATCACCCATACAGACGGTATGTTACCGGCAAAAACGATTACCGCTGGACCAGCTCCGGACTGCAGTTGGACCAATATGGACCGGCGGCGGACCAAGACGGATGAACTACGTCTTGACGTCTACGGGTGAACCAATACCGAATCGATCCATCGTCGGACTGATAATGAACCAGTACTGGACCAGTACCAAATCACCGCCGGACTACGAGTGAAGTTTCATTGGACCAGGGGTGAAATAAGGGCGGAACAGAGCCCGAAAAAACATGGCCATTACACAAAAGAATCACGACCAGACCAGCACCAGACCAGGGTCAGTCGAACCAGCACCGTTCAGCCAGACCAGTCGGTCCGACACACCAGCGTCGGGCCCGCCCCACGCCGGATGTCACTCCATTGACTCCGCTCAGCTGTGACGCTCAACGGTGGACAGATGGCGGCACGAACTGACTGCGGTTATAGACAGACGATCTGGTGCGGTGGCGAGCCCTGATAACCATAAGAGACTCTCGGTAGGCATTGAGGTGCCTTCCACGTACGATAGTTTTTGTGGTCCTTCCCTAACTGGTTTGGTTGTCATCGAGCCACAGTTCGTTGCCCAACAGTTAGTTTAGTAAAAGGCGAGCGGCAGGGATATCGCTCGAGTGTTTGATATTGTGATTGTGATTAGTGTTTGACAACACCGTGTTATGTACTAGAGTAGTTGCATTCTTAATTTATTTTCCCACCCCAACAAGCCAATCAAGCCCACGATTTCATCTATTCCTTCTTCTCTATGAGACGACCATTGCGGGAGTTTGGCTCACTCCTCGCAAACGGTAACCTCGGACAAGTAACCTATTCGAACTGCCCTCGTCGGTTGCTTGCTGGGTCTGACTGCTAACCCGGAAACAGGGGAGGTGATTGGGATGGAAGTGCGAAGGTCCTGATGATGGCGTTGATAGATATAAACAAATCTAAGTCGCGACGGTGCAGTAATTTACTTCTTTCTCGGATGTAATAATCGGTTGCACAATCGGGGCCTTTCGAACTCGTCTCATGGCCTGATATTTGGGAATAACACATAACAGTCATGGCTTTCCACGTACTGCACTGTTCACACAAACCATCAAATGTGATACTGCATAAAACTGCTAAGCCGTTGCCCACTCAATTTTCTAGTTTCTATCGCATTGGCCATTACGGTCGCTTCGGCCGCAGAGCACTAGCGACACCGCACCACCTAGCGGACGACTAAGATACTAAAGCTTGAGATCTCCAGTACTGCATTTGCACGTGTCAAAATAAACTATAGTTTATTCCATGCCCTGTCTGACGTGGTTTCGCCGTGTGTACCGCCAACCTGACTCCTCTCCGACTCAGATTCGACTCAGGAGTCGAGTACTCACCGCCAGTCGGCTGCTGGAGCTGGGCAGGGATGGGATCGATGCTGCCGAGTCCATGCCCGCCGCGGGCTCCCCGCCCGTCTGGAAGATGGAGTCGTGCGACATGCTGAGGCGGTATTTGTTGGGGGACGAGCTGCCCTTCCCCGACCTGTAGGAAAACGAAGAAGTGTCAGACATCAGACAGCAGACGCTTTATCCTGGGATGGTGGTATGGTTACCATTGTGCCTCAGTCACTTAATTCAGGAGCCATCAATCCAGCGTTGTACAATTTTTTTAGCCAGATGTGATAAGATACTCTATTGTGCATATTATTACCACGTCATGTATTAGACAGAACCACGCCAATGCACAATTCTCCCCTTCAAGGAGTCTGCCAGCGAATCAGACTGCAGGCTACAAGCGATCGCCCCCTCCAGTCCCCTCCAAGCTATAGCTTCCGCCGTACCCCCTAGGTGGCAGCACATGTCTCTCCATATGTCCCCGCCACCTGGCGGTCTGCCAGCCTTTCCAGTCAACCTGCCACTCCTTACCTGCGCCGCTGGGCCTGAGGCGAGGGTGGCACTTCTGGCAGCCCCGAGCTCTCAACTGCATCATCATCTTCCTTGCCCTTCCGTCGGAAAAGCTTCTGCAGCTTCTTGAATGGCTGAAACCGCCGCCTCCGGTGACCTGGCGAGAGGGAAAGGCGGTGAGAAAGTGGGAGAGGAAGCCAGACAAGCGATGAGACGTGACACCCGATGCCAGCGTATTGTCGTCCTTTTAAAAATATCTCGCGGCTTTTTGTGACGAGGCAGCCACTCGGGTCACTGGGCAAAAACGAGTGGAGGGACTGGATCCGTCCGCCCGCCCACCGCGCAGCCTTTCTTACAGTGAATCCCGGCGGAACTAGAGGTGGCACGTTCTGGACAATGGACGCTAAATTTAGACGAGAATCTGGGTTGATAAACTAACAAGCAGCATAATGAACTAGCCAGGACGACTGGTTGAATCCGTGGTCACTGGACTGGCCAGGTCAAGTGGCCAGTATGCCACTTGACTGACAAGATCAGTGATCACTGGACTGCACAGATCAGTAGCTCATGAACTGGACTACCCAGCTCCATGATCACTGGACTCGTCAGAACCACTATCACGGGGCGCTGGACCTGTCCAAACTCGTGGCCACGGGACGTTGTAGGCGTCTGTTTATCGTGATTCACGGCCGACCAGCGACGGTCAGCGACGGTCACCGCTGGTCAGTGATGATCACAGTCCATTCAAGCATGCAGCCCGCTTTCCTGGCCGGCCGACTTTGGCTCCGTATGTGCTTAGCGACAGCAGTGTGGGTGTCAGTGAGACAGGGAGGGGTCCTAATGCTACTGTGAGGAAGGATCGCCTGATTTATCAGTAGGAGAAGAGTGAGGGAAAAAGAGGACGGGAAAAGTGGAGAGAGAGAGAGAGAGAGAGAGAGAGAGAGAGAGAGAGAGAGAGAGAGAGAGAGAGAGAGAGAGAGAGAGAGAGAGAGAGAGAGAGAGAGAGAGAGAGAGAGAGAGAGAGAGAGAGAGAGAGAGAGAGAGAGAGAGAGAGAGAGAGAGAGAGAGAGAGAGAGAGAGAGAGAGAGAGAGAGAGAGAGAGAGAGAGAGAGAGAGAGAGAGAGAGAGAGAGAGAGAGAGAGAGAGAGAGAGAGAGAGAGAGAGAGAGAGAGAGAGAGAGAGAGAGACGGAATGGAAGTGAGAGTGGGTATGGAAAGGGAGGTGCATGTGTGTGCAAAGAATAATTCATTATCATCCGTAGCTTAGCACGCTACTTGTTAGCATTTGATGTATCCGTGAATAAAAACCTAGCTTACATGGGGACAGGAGTCCAAAATACTCGTCTCTAATAATACTCAGAACCACAGTGGCTCTTATTCCTGGTACTATGCAGTATGCAACTGGCATGCTGCCCATAGCTGCATATGTGACATTGAAACAACTATGGTGCCTTCTCTGTGGCCTCGAAACAAGCCGATTTCAATAGATTTTACCCTGAATCCATCTGTACCAGCCATTACTGAAGACGAGAAAGGTAGTGTAATATGCATACCAAGGCATCAAAAGGTCATGCTTTCATATTGAACTGAGAAATCCTTTTAGCGATGCGCCATCGCAGCATCGAATAATAACACAGTTGCCATCAAACTCCCTGCAAACCACCAAGCAAAGCTTCAGGCCATTAAGTTATAGGCGACCACAAAGACTGCACACTGCACATTTGTTAGGAAAACATCGGCGGAGTCCATTTCATCTGACACGCCCTCTCTGGTATCAAGGTCAGCATCGTGTTCAAACATCACCCTATGTTGACTCGGTCACTCAGTCTACAAAGAACCCCGAGCGCCATGGTATTGGATATTCCCCTCCACTCCACTGTCCACACAGGAGCGTCCACACAAGTTTGTCCACAAAGTGCGTCCACTAAAATGCCCGAGCTCAGCGACCAGGAACCTCACTATCACTACAAGAGACCTTCCCCCCGTAACCCGAGCGTGTGACCGCGAGACTCACTGACCTTCGTGGTCGGACCCTGCCATGTCGGGTGTCAGGTGTGCGTGACGCAGGTCGTCCGAGGTCAGAGGTCACGACCCGTGCCCCGGGGCGCTGCTCCGCGGGCGCCCGCCAGGCAGCCCGGGAGAATCAGACGAGGCGGCGTCCCAGTCAGGGGTGTATCACAAAACCGGGACCTGAGGGAGACAAGAAAGGAAGACGTCAAAATATGTCACATCAAAGCTTCGAGACGAAGTGCTGACAAAGCGCTCCCACGCATTATGTTATCCGTCGATCATTTCGTTGGAAAAGTCGACGGAACATAACCATTTGCCCAAACACCCATCAGCCACACAAACATATCGACCCAAACATAAACATATCGGAACATCCCAGCCGAATGCGCACAAAAAGGCGGCCAAAGCAATCTGGCATCCCACGCGGAGCCGCCACGACCGCTGCCGCCGCCCACACCCTCCCACGGGCCGTCGTAACCTGCGCCTTCTACCAATCACTGCTCCATACGGCAACCTTCGACTGACAGACGCACTAAAGGCCCGGTCACATGGGCACATTCCATCTGCCGCGTGCGTGTTGGCTATCACAGCGCTGCGCTGGCTCGCTAACAATGAATGCGAGTGGGCACGTGCGGGCCACGGGCGGTACTACAAAGGGGTGTGTCGACTGGAACCCAGCACGCGCTGCTCTGCACGGACGTAGCAGCCCACATTGGCGTAGTTGCATTCCTTACACGCGCACTTCCCTTGTGCACAGCTCCGTGCACCTCTCCGCGCACTATAACCGTATAACCGTGCAGTTCTCAATGACTTGGCACCAGAGGCACAAGCCCGTGAACCGCTGCAATAAGTTCTAAATTTAGCTGCAGCCAACGGTAATGAAAAAGTTGATTGAATGGCGGGCTGAAAATGATCCACATTCCACAAACTTCTCTTGCCGATCAAATGTTCCTACATCAAATGTTTTTTTTTTCTTTTCAGTTAGGGGAGAGTGGGGTAAGATGCCCAGGGTGGAAAAGACGCCCCACCCCCTCTAGGGGCCAAACAAAGAATCGAACCCGGAAATTAATGTTCTTAGCGTAAAGCGGAAGCCTGCCTTGTTAACTGCACAAAAATTTGCGAAGCTCAGTTGGGCAACGGCTGGATGGTGAATGCATGTTTTTTATTTGCTGCTTTCAAAAAATATTTTGGTGTCATAACATTGTAAATATCAAAGAAGGTAGATCATTTTTGCGTCCCTTGATATAGTCGTGATACATTAACATGCGTGTACTGTGTCCCAAGCAGTTTGTTTCAGGGTGTAGTTTTATGGCTAACAAATTGTACTGATTTAATGGTACTTCGGTACCTTGGGGTAAGATGCCCCCTGTCCTGATGGGGAAAGACGCCCCCCTAAATCCGTAGGCTGTCCTTCAAGCAGCCCGTCAAATCATTTATTACATGCTTGTGATGAGAGACAAAAGCCGATCTGGGACTATTAAGAGTCCAGTACGGTCGGGTGCTCCCCATGCCGGTCTCTCGGCCCACACAGCGACTTTTTGGGCGGCATCTGACTCTGAGAGCCCTCACGACGGCCTCTGTGGGCCCCATTATTGGCTCCAGGGCCCCTCACGACATCCTTTGAGGGCTCCCACGTTGGCTTCACGGACCGCGCTGGCATCTGAGGTCCTCACGATGGGCTCGAGGGCCCTCAAGCATCATGAAGACCTATAAGGGCCCCACAGTGGTCTCCGAACGCCACCACGGAGGCTTGTTTGGCCGCGCTGGACTATGATAGCCCTAACGATGACCTCTGAAGCCCCTTACGACCACTTTTGAGGGCCCTTACGATGACGTTTGGTGTCTACTGCAGGCTCGAAGGGACTACTGATTCGTTCAGGCGATTCACGTGCCCATTTATGTCACTTATAGTGCAGGGGGCATCTTACCCAACGCCAGGGGGCGTCTTTCCCACCCTGTGGGGTAAGACGCCCCCTTTCACATCTTCAGGAAAATGCTTAATAGCAAAAAAAGTTATCATATTTCAGGCACAAAAGTGTGATATTTTTGGAGAAAAATGATGTCGGCTTCCGATGAAACTCCAAGTTTTTGCTTTCCGATCGTCATTTTCGAATAATATATGACATAGTAAAACCCTGAGCATCTTTCCCCACTCTCCCCTACCAGTTTTACGTTGCCAGCGCATTGTGGAATGAACTCACAGAACCGCAGGTATCAAACGTTTAGCATAATTCTACATCCGAAGGCATTGGGTTCATCTCGATCCTTCATTTTCATAATAGTCGTGTTTACACAGCGTTCTGCATGTGAATGCACATTCCTATCGGTCCACCCGACCGACAAGGGCGACATTCCTGTACACTGTCTACGACGGGTCGCCCTTCCTGACAAATAGCGTGCACAACGCGGCCAGCCGACCGGCCGGGATGGTTTTGTTGCCTGGGCGGCCGCTCTGTCCCAGAGGAGAGGGGGAGGGAGGGGAGGGGAACTCTGTTTACCTCGCCGCACGGGGCCCACCGCCAGGAGTGACCTTGACCTGCATTGTGAGCAGCAGCCGGCGGCGGTCAGATGACCTACCGACAGCCGGGGCCGGGGAGGGATGTATGCGAGTCTGTTTATCATTCAGGGCCGGGGCAGCAAAAACGATAAGTGCGTATGCTGCTCTACGATTTCAAGGAAATCAGTGTTTTTGCTTGCTGTTGTAGTGAAATGGATGACGGGACGTGGAATATTGTTCGTGAAGTTCCATTTACATGCATATTGCTTATCTTAACCCATAATCGCATCGCTAGGTTTGGACATAAATGAAAGATAAACCCATTGGAATGCAAATTGCACAGTTGAGAATGACCGTCAACCCTCAGAAGATATCGCATCGTCTAGCCGGAACAAATAGCAAAGACCAGTTTCACCGCGTTTTGTGTGGAGTATGGTGTGTTTACGACTTTGACGCTGCCTTGAGAACGTCTGATCCCCATGAGCAAGGCTACTTGGGAATTACCAAACCTGAATCCATTCGTACCATGCATAGGCGGCGGAACGGGGGGGGCACCGGGGCACCGTGCCCCCCCTTGAATTCTGCAAGGGGGGCACCAATAGCAAGGTGCCCCCCCTTAAATTTGATGTATTAGTAAATAGTACCAGGGGCGGATTCGGGAAAACTCCAAGGGGGAGGGTCATGAATCGAAGTGGTGCCCCTACCTATACCCAAAATTAAAACCTCAACGGATTTCGGCCACTTAGTTTTGGTGGTGCCCTATTTTCAGTTTTTTTTTCTTTATTTTTGGTTAGTCATGTGATGACTGGTGCCCCTGGAAAGACTGTGGTACCTACCTACCCTGCCCCCTGACAAGCCTACGGTGGGCCCTGACATGACTTAGGTGCCCATGGGCCCTGACAGGCCCGTGGTGCCCCTGACAGGCCTGTGGTGTCCTTGCTAGGCCTGTGGTGTCCCTGGGCCTTGGCAGGTCTGTGGTGCCCCTGGCGAGCCTGTGGTGCCCCTGTTAGAACGCAGGTGCCCTTGACAGGTTTGTGGTGCCCCTGACAATCCTCAAGTGCCAACGACAGGCTTGTGGTGCCCTTGACAGGCCCATGGTGCCCTTGCGAGGCCCGTGGTTCCCCTGCGAAGCCGATAGCGCCCCTGGCAGGCCTCTGGTGCCCCTGGCAGGTCTGTGGTGCCCCTGGAAGACCTGTAGTGCTTTTCCTAGGCCGATGGTGCTCCTGACAGGCCTGTGGGGCCACTGACAGGCCCGTGGTGCCCCTGCTAGGCCTATGGTACCCCTGGCGGGCCTGTGGTGCCCCTGTCGGCTGTCAGGCCTGTGGTGCTCCTGACAGGCATGTGGTGACCACAGGCCCTAAGTCATGACCCATGTGACCTCCCCCCTGGGATTCGCCACTGATCAGTACTGCGATGGCTTCTTGGGAATTTGATATATGTAGGATAAATGGAATTTATCAAACGACAATAAGGAAAAGACAAACACATAAGTACTTGAGGATCAGCTTAACCCTCGCTGGCACAGGGGGGGGGGGGTTCTCGCATTGATCAATTTTACACCTATCCTGAAAATTTCATGACCCTGACCCAAATGACCTTTGACCTGTGACCTCTTTTCTGAGACCATGTTTGGCCGGAATCGCGATTCGGCGTATGTCGGCTCGCATTAGCCGCGTGTTTGCAAGCTTTTCGTGGTTTCAAACATTCAAACATGTGATTTGATGTTGCTCCCATACATAAGGGTGGGTGTCAAGGTCACGTGAAGGTCAGGTCAGGTCATTGACCTTTGGTGACCTCGGGTGACCTCGGTTCACTTTTCGAGTTTTACATGTTTCTAGGCTAGTTTTTGGAGCTGAATTCGAATTTAGCAACCATTTGAACATTTACGAAGTAGTTTTGGTGCCTTCGTAACATGTTACGAAGCTATCAGAGGCGGTTGACACGTATTACGAATACCCGTCACAACTCCTACCGGTTGACCTGACCTGACCTGACCCGACCTGGTCTAAATGCTAAAAGACATTATCTATGATCAAAGCTAACACGATATTCGTGATCAGCACCCCGGAAAACCACATAACAGCCACACTTTACGGCTTTCTAACAGGTCCCGATTTTCCCGGTTTTCGGGTCATTGACCTGACCTGCAGAAGGTCACTCGATGACCTAGGACCTTAAAATTGGGTATCATCAGCTTCCTCTCGTGACGGACAACACGCTCGATTTTTCTGCGAAGCTCTAGCTCGATCAGGGGCCAAACGCGAGGAGGGGGGTCGTACCAACCCCCCCCCCCCCTTGTGCCGTCGAAGGACGCAAAATGGCCTGTGCCGGCGAGGGTTAAAGTTAACCACACATACGGGGGTGAACTGCCATTTTCGTTTAGTAAAAAAAAAAATAAAAAATAAAAAAATCATCGTGCCGGGGCTGTGACGAAAAATAAGTGGCCTAAATCCGATGAGAAAACAGGATTTGGGGGTACCCTAGGTTTGGCTCCTGGAGCTGGTGCCCCCCCTTGTCTCAAATCGTTCCGCCGCCTATGGTACCATGTCCTTAAACTCACTGTCTTTAGAACCGCCTTCACTCTCACTGAGCTCAGATTTAGGTAATGCTTGCAAAGGCATATGACTAAAATGCTGACAAAACGTTATTAGCTCATTGCCAGTGCTAAAAACATCATTAGGTG